ATGGAAGATAGGTCTATTGATGGCAATTAGTCAGGATGGTCAGGAATAGTGTCCCTAACCTCCGTTTTTCAGAAGCTGGGAATGGGCACTAAGGGAGGGATCATTTGATGATTCCCTGTTCTGCTCATTCCCTTTGGGGCTCCTGGCATTGGCCTCTGTTGGAAGATAGGAGACTGGGCTAGATGGACATTTGATCTGACCCAGTAGAGTTGTTCTTATATTCTTATAAAATATACACAAATACAGCTGCTGCCATCTGATCTGTAGGAGATCTCCTTTAACTAATGACAGTAGTTGGTCCCATATTTTCCCTGCAAACCAACCATGTGGGGGCTATGTAACCCACAATGACACAAACACAAAGCCAATACATTATCCTACCTCTTGTGGGTCAGAGTTAAGGTGATTATTAGAATGTGCCCAGTGAGTTTTTACATGTCAGTATGGTCATTAACCACATGCATGAAATAAGAGGTTATTGGATACAAACTGAAGTAACAGTCACTAGTTATTTTCATACTTCCATAAGTCTTAGAGGATTTTTTAAAAATGTAATGTTCTTCTTACCACTTTAGGATAAGAGCTTTAAAGTTCTTACAGTCCATATTTTTAAGTTAACCAGTGTTTGTCAGTTGGAATATTCAATATTCCTGTGTAACAGCATGTCAAGTTATTGAATTTTAAAGATCATTGCTGCACCCATGGGGGCGGGGGGGGGGCCCCAAAAGTCTGTACAAAGGCGGCCATGTGACTTGCTCCAGCTTGGAAGAGACCAGGCATGGATATAAAATGCCATGAAGCAGACTTCATCTGGCTTTCAATTTTGCTACTGATTCCAGATGCAGCCTTGCGAGGAACAGCGAGCCGGGAAGAATTGTGGGCCCATCTTGACATAGGATGTACACCAGAGACTTTTAAGATAACAGTTTATAACATCTCTGCTAAGCGCCTGCACTGAGAACTTGGAGATTCGATGCATGTAATGTATTTTCCTTAACAACCTTACTCTCATGCTTTTCCTTCTTTTATGAATAAACCTTTAGATTGTAGATTCTAAAGGATTGGCTCAGCATTATCTTGTGGGTAAGATCCAAAGTGTAAATTGACCTGGGAACTGTGGCTGAGCTTTTGAGACCAAGAGAACCCATTTCGGGGTAGGTGAGATTGGGTTCTATAACCCCTCACCTGTGTGTTAGGCCTGGGGCTGATTGTGGCACAGGGAGAGCTGCGGAGTCTGAGTGGTTTTGCTTGGTGTGACTGGTTTGTGGCCTATTTGGGAAGGTCTCTAGTCAGGGGCTGTAAGGGGCCCTGAGTTTGAGCAATTCATCCTGAGCGGACGCCTTCAGCGGTGCCCAGACTCGGCCCGGTCCATCACACAGCATACATGGCCAGCTCAGATGCATCTGAAATCACAAGATTATTGCTGTGCTGTAGCACCGCTGATGGCATGGCAACCAGTTGTAAGAGTCTGATATTCCACCTGGTCTATTGCCTTCAGGGACACCAGATCATAACTGTCAATCCAACATCATCTCTGATGTGCAGGCTTTGTGCATCAGTATTGTTTTCATATCTCAGTTACCTGTCACATAGCTGGAGGGGGAAGGGAAGCTACTTATGGCTTGTGGAGCAAATTCACCAATCAGGACAACAAAGCTCATTCATCGTTATTGGGTAAACATCGATACGGCAGGGAGAAGCAGACAGATAAAATGCATGTTGCAAGCTGTCCTCATGCACCAGGCACGGTTGTTTCACTGCAGTGCATGCCGCTACCTTGTCACTGCCTTGCAAATTATCTAACACGGCTTCCGACTTCCACCACAACCCCTGATACTTGTTTTGCATTTGGAATTCTCATGAGAGCTTTGATGGCCGTGGCAGACTGAATTCTAGCAGGAGGCTGTGCTTGATGCAGGGGACTGATCAAACTGTTAGTTTACTCAGGCAGAGTATTTAGTGTAGGAAGCACCTTGGGGGACTCAGGCAATTCAAGTTGAAGAAACAGAGGCATGTTCTGCATCTCCACGGGAACAAACTCTGTCTGTAGTCGGTCACATATTCTCTTCTAACAAGTGAAAGGCCCGCCCAGTAGTTACGGGCTTCATTCACCACAAATAAAGGGATCTTTCCTCTTCCACCCTGCAGATAACTCCATTTGGCACGCAGGAGAGGAGTTCATTAGGAGATCATGGTCGGATCCAGGAGGAGGTAACCCCCGGTAGAACTTTAAATCCAATTTTAGCCAATCAAAACTGGGCCTCTACAGCTTGCTTTCAGGTGAGGTGGCTGGATTCACTCCTTTTTTTGTGCCTTCAAAACAAATGTGGCTTGCCATAGCCCCAGAGAAAAGACTTTGGGAGGCTTTTAATTAAAAACACCCAATTGCGAATAAATGAAGTTGGATTGCATGGAGCGCTTTGTCTGTCTGATCTAGGACAACGTGCCCTACATAAAACTTAAATATAACACCCAGCCAGTTCAGCATTCCAGCTCTTTTGGAGGGAGGGGGCAGCTCACTTTCATTTAGCCTTCGTCAGCCCTCACGTCTCTGTGGCCTGATGATATAGAGCTCCCTAAACGTGAGGTGTCTCGTGGTTTTGCCGTCATTTCTAGTGGCTGTGGAGTAAACAGTGACTAGGGACAGATTTACAGAGGGAAGCCCAGGCACAATATTCTCTGAGCAGGCCTGCTGTCGGTGGAGGGGAGGGGAGGGGAAAAGAAACAGTTGTCCCACGGCCAAGTGATTCAAAGGGGCCCTGAACTCCAGCTCCGCCGTGTTGGCTGGGGCCCTGAGACCTTTAAATCCAGGCAGCACTAGGGCCTGGGGGTGCGTGCCATGCTCTGGTTAGCTCTAAGGGCTAGGGGGCGCTGTGCCACACTCTGGGCAGCGCTGAGGGTTGGCTTCCTTTGGCCCCGCCCCTTCCACCATTAGCCCCACCCCCATCCACCTTGCCCAGGGACCCACAGAGACTGATGGTGCCACTGTCTATGAGACAGGCTTGCATCTTCAATCACATTCCACAGGCCCTTAGCTACCTGCTACCAGCTCAGGAAATGGACCGTCTCTCAGTGCAATTCCACAGCCCTCTCCAGAAGAGGTTGTAGCCTCCTTGGACAAGTACCAGAGGGATCTGCCTTTTTCTTCTGCACTGGCAACGCTTGTTTAGCTTGTTCTGCCAATACAGTCTCATTGAATCGACCTGAAATAGTTTTTTTCCCCCCCGGCTTGATGGAAGCCTACTACAGTAGTTGGCTCAGAGAGGCCTATTAAGGAAAATTAAAAAATCTTTACGGGAGTCATTCGCTCCTAGAGTGAAAAAAAAATGGCCAAAATTTTACCCTCCCCTTCTTCTTTTTTTTTTTTTTTTAAAGCGCTGCCTGACGAATTCTTGGATTGCAAACCCCTCTGTTCGCAGACCTCAGAAGAGAAACACAAAACCCTTCTCCCTCCGAGGAAACCCTTTGTGAAGTCTTCCGCTGGTACATATTGGGTTCTTTTCCCAAGAGAACATTCCTCCCCCACCTCCCTGTCCATTTCTTAGCAGCGAGAACAGTTTGTATCCAGATCAGTCTGGCGAGCCACATGACTCCACTGCAAGAAGAGGGTGTTTCAGTGAATCAAAAGGATACTACAAATGTTAGCCAATAACAATGCACCAGGCATCACAAAAAGAGAAGGATTTCTTGTATCCCTCCGGTCCCTACTGCCAGTCCTTAAACACACATACACGGATTGAAAGCAACGAGTATGACACTGGATCAAACGAAAGAATTCTTTGTGCTCCGAGTCACAACCGGCACCAGCTGCTCTCACAAAGCAGTAGGCTGCACAATACAAAGAGGTGAGCTCTGCAGTATTCCCATTTTGAACTGTGGGGCTTTTTTCTCTCCCCTTCCTTTTATGCTTTTCTGTTCCCGCTAATCCTGACATTACCTGGCAATACATTCCTGTGCTTCCCACTCACCCCGCATAACGAGAAGCCGTCCAATCGGCTGCTTTAGGAACTTGGAGCTAACCCGAATGAATGGCTCTCCCGTGGCCGTTCTTGTTCAGAAACACTTTAATGGCGCTGATAATTCCAGCAGAACTTGAAACCAGACCTCTCCCCTTTCTCTCCTTATTGGACAGGCCCTTTATTTTAAAGCCATCCTCTAGCGCGCTTTTTCGAGCTTCCTGTTACTTCTACCAGAAATGCAGCCTGGCTAAAACTGAGGCCCGAGAAAGAGGTGTTCATCTGAAGTAATCCATTCGGGCATGTCTACACTAAGAAACCATTTCAAAATGACTACAATCAACTTAATAACTCCCAAAATAACAGAATCGAAATAGCTATGGGGAAGCCTCGAAATTAGTCTGAGGCAGGTTCCATTAAATGTGGACGTGCTATCTCGAGTTAGAATGCCAGGAAGCACTGGGGAGTAATTAATTCAAATTACTCTGGGGAGTAGTTATTTCGAAAGAGCGGCACCAGAGTGTTTGCATGACCGCTATTTCGAAATAACTGGTTGGAAATTAGCATTACTCCCTAAGGAAAGCAGGAGTACAGATTTAAGTGTGGACGCTCTGCTCATTAATTTAGCTTAATGAAGATTATTTTGAAGTAAAGCCCTAGACCAGAGCTCATGTCGACCAGTGGGGTCTGTCACATCGGGGCTATGACACACATGGGAGCAAGGGCTGAAATGAAATCTCAACAAGTGGGAGAGGGGCTAAGAAACAGAAAGAGTAACTGAAAGGTTTTCCTATAACACTTTGCAATCATCGAAAGAGAAAACAGAAGACAGTGCGTGAACAACTGCAGTGCTACCCAATACCCAGATCCCAGAACAAACCAAACAGAGTCAGAGCTCTCTCTTACAGGCTTTCTTTGCAGGGAGTGGATGGAGGGGTTTCGGGTAGGGAGAAAGAACCACCCCTCCATACATCCCTCACTTCAGAAGAACAGCCGGCCAGGGTAAAAGCCACACAAAAGAGAGTGCAGAAAGCTGTTACTTACAGGTGTATGTCATTTCAAAGCTGTCGCTGATATTCACAATGTCAATCTGAGGAAGCAGTTTTGGGGATTCTGTGAGCTGAGACAATGCAAACCTAAAAGCCGCATGTTCCTGGGACTGCTGATTAGGAAATAATCCCCCTGGGGAGAAAAAAAAATGAAGAAAGCAAAGGTCTGAAATACATCCACACTGTAACAAGCCTAGGAAACATTCTATGGATGGGAACCTACCCGGCTCAACAAATGCTGCTCGCATTCTGCTAGACTCCATAATGTCCCGGTACCATGAGACACAAGAGGGTAGGTGCTTAGGCATCTTGTGTAGTATATGTCTTATGTAAGGGGTGTATCAAAATATGCCAGCTTGCACCTTTCCCTCAGACTAGCAGCGGGTAGGACGGGCATGAATTTGGGGTAAGTCTCTTCCTGCACAATGGGAAAGGACAAGAACAGAAGTGTTCCCAGGATAGCTGGATGTGGGAGAACAGCACCTTTGCACCCCTGTGACCCACGGAGAACGGCGCCTCATTCAGCTCACCTGCTGTAGGCCCACAGGCAATTTTGCCCCCCTGACTCACCACCCAATCGATTCAAACGCACTGTTCTGCTCAAGGAGTGATGGGGGTTACTTGGCAGGGGTCAGGCTGTCCAATCTGGCCTGGAATGAAGAATCATTGGTGGCTGGGGACCGAGGGGAGAGGAACTCTTAAGATGGTTGTAATAAAAGAGGAGAATTCACCCTTCCTGACCGGCCACATGCTGCTGGAAGGGATGGGGAACGCAGCCTGGAGAAGACCCACAATTTGTTTTATGGGTGACAACAGACAAAGCCAGCAGGACCAGTCAAAAATCTGACCATGAAAGGGGTTTGCCCACTGAGATGGCTGCTAGGATTCAGGCAAGCTCTGGAATGATAGCACCAGGTAGCACATCAGGACTGGCCAGACAGCATCAGAGCCATGGACCTTCTAGCTCAGCGTCCTGTCTCTGACGGTGGCCAGGATCAGATGCATATGGGGAAGTTGGAAGAAACCTTGCAATGGGTATTCATGGGATCACCTGACCCCAGGGAAAGTTTGCTCTCGTCCCCCCTCGCTTAGAGGTCAGTTTATGCCCTGGGGCATGAAGGTTTAGATTCCTTCCAAACTTTTATTTATTTATTTTTAAGAGTCCCTGTTATACAGCCGGGTTTTCTGACTGTCCTGGCAAAAGGTAAAAGCGGGGAACAGTTATCCTGATTTACAAGCCAGGAAAGGAAGCCCAGAGAAATGTAGTGATTAATGGAATGAAAATAAAAAGGTATATTGGTACATTACAACTTTCCCGAGCAGATTGCTTGGAAAAGCAGCCAGGGACTGGAGGCGCAGAGAGTGGCCCATTGGCAGGAAAGAGACTTTGCATATTTTCAACACAGATTGCATCTCCTGCTAGAGTGGAGGGGACATTTGCACCCTCTCTTTCAAAAAAAAATCACGTCTAAGTGTTGCTACCAAAAGAAAACCAACCTGGCAGTATCCCTCCCTCCCTCCATCTTTTTTTATTAAAATGGGGAAAAAGCTTGAGATGGTGAACAAATTCTGAATTGGGAGAGGGGTGCCGGGAGGGCTGGTGAAGGGAAAAGCAAAGTAGCATCAACAGTAATAAATGCACCAATTGTGCAGTTGGACTAACCCAGGAGTTGATTAAACTCACTGGCTTAGCAGACGGTTGGCATGACAAAGAGAGGGGTGATGGAAAT